TACAAAATAGTTTTGGGTTTAATTTATATAATTAGAAGTTGAAGAGTCACACATAAATCTATACAAAATTATTTTGGGCTTAAACTATATTCATTCACTCGGCTTGGATATTAGACTTGTTCTTATTTTTTACCAAGCTTCAATTTAAATTTATTATAAGATCATTTTTAACCCAAAATTATTTTTTTCCAGTCTATTTATATATTAAATTCATGAATTAGTTAGAACAATCTTCTTCTTTTTCTAACCTGAACATCTTTTATATATAAAACATTAAGATTTAAAACTAAAAAACTATTAGATTAATTTTTTTTAATGATGAGTAACTAAAACAAAACAATGAAAAATTAATTCTCTAATTACTGGATTTAATTTCTGCATTAGCTTCGGCTTTAAAATCCACTATAAAAGCTGGTTAACGGAAGAATGTTCTACATTGCTTTCCAAACTCTTCTTCTCTTCTGTTTTCTAATTACCTTCCTGTGTTTTAAACTTTGTTTTTTTTTTTTTTTGAGTTTTTCTTCTATTTTAGAGCTTAAATTATGTTATTATAAAGAAATAGCGAGTTGTTCATAAGTGTGGCTAAACAAAACGATGTTGTCAAAATCTTGAAAGTTTTATTATCATCATTTCATTTACAGCAAGAGATGAGTAATAAATGATAAAAAATGTATAAATATACAGAGAGAGAAAGAGAGAGGTTACATGAAAAAATAAACAATTAATCTTGTGCAACCTATAATACCGATACACTTGTGTTTGCTTTACATTTTAATCCATAAATTGATTATTCTGTGATCATTGTTAATATACTGTGAAGAATTATGGTGGGGCTCCGTCCTGCGAAAAGGGAAATGATATTGAAAACTCTCTTGGGAAAAGAAGAGGTGAAAGAAGGACAAGATTCTTAGGAGCTTGTTGCTGTGTCAGAGTCGACCAAGGATACCATGGAAGTGATCTTAAGCTCAGCATTTCTTGTAGTCTTTCGGTGTTCCTGTGCACGATTAGGCTTTTATTGGCCGTGCGGTAGATATTTTAAAACAGAACTTGTGCACGCCAACTGCATATTGGCCTGTTGGTGATCTGATACAACAGGAAAGACTTAAGAGTATATGGCTGGTGTTTCTTCTTCGGTTGCTTCATTCTTTTTCTGATGCATCCTGGAAAGAAACTTTTCATGAACTTCTAGTTTTGCTCTGATTATGAACTGCTCTTTGCAGGCAGAGAGCTGCGGCAGCATAAAAGGAATTCATGCAAAATCCTTGCATCTTACCTCATTTGTCGTTCCGTTTTTGTTCATCTTTAATGTCCTTCTTGAAGACTTTGTTCGTTGATGCATTGACCTCAGCCAAATTCTTGTATTTTATATTGAGTTTCCTGTGTGGCTTAACCCAAGGCCTAGTTCATATCCAGAGAATGAAAAGGCAAGGACCAGGAACAAACTACAGGTAGTAAATATTCATATTTCAACCCTCTTTCTGTCTTATAAAGAAAATTATGAAAATAATTTTACTATCCTAATGGAGTCAACACCTCCTACTTTATCAATTTAGACATTAAAAAACCAAATAAAAAAATGATTTTATTTTTAATAACATGTGATACTAAACTTTGGACATTAAATATAAACTAAGATATTTTAACACTTGTCATTTTATCAATACCTATAATTATGACTCCACAAATAACTATACTTATATATCTTTTGTTTTTATTAGCATATCGACTTAGACCTTCATCATTATATACCAGTTTTACCTTATAATGATTAATGTTATTTTAGTCTGTTTTCAACACTATTTTGAACATATTTATTAAATTATGAATTATTTATATTGATGCAAGTTTAACAGGATTTTAAAATTTATTTTTATTGAACTTATTATTATTATTAAAATAATTTATAGTATTAATTTATGTTATATATTTTTGAAATATCAACAAATAATTATAAGAAATTCAATAAATAGAAAAAATAATTTTAAAAAAATCACGTTTTAAGAAATATATTTATTGGACAAGTTTTTTTGTAAGGCAACTTATTTAATTGATGGCATGGCAGGTTCATATGCAAAGCTTTGCTGGAAAAATAGTGAGAATGAAGCAATCAGAGAATTTATATGCTTCACATGGAGCTCGAATCATACTATCACATGTTCTATATATTTGCAGTGAGACTATGTGAAAGGGTACGTCTGTCTGTTGAAAATTAATAGAATCTAGTGTTTCCCACATTTGTAGATCGAGAATGAATATGGCACACTACTGAAGATGGGCTAGCTAGCACATGTCCAGTGGGCAGTAGAGATGGCTGAGGGTCTTTAAACAGGGTTCCCGTAGGTTATGAACAACGAAAATAATGCTCCTGGTCAAATGGTTAATCTTCTTTTTTCTGCAAAAGTCCTTTTCAATTAACTTTGTTGCTATAACTTAATTGTCAGGTTATAAGTATACTTCTTAGAAATTATTAATTTAAATATCATAAATTTTAGATTATTAAAAATTTATATAATTATTAATTTTAAAATTTCAAAAAATTAATCAAAGTATATAGAAACTAGTGGAACAAAATCCTTTCTAAATACTTGTTTGCAAGTTTTAGGTTACTGTAAATTACAGGACACAGGACACATGTATAAAGAAACATTAATCGAGTTTAGTTTGCATATAAATTCAAGGTGGTCCAACCAGGGGGGGGGGGGGGGGGGTCTGGCAATTTTTTCTGGACCTTCCTTAATTTATAACTTAGCTCCTTCTAATTTTTTTTTCTCGCTCCGCCCCTGGGTCCAACGCTCCGGTTCTGTCAAATGTTAGACATGGTAAAAATATTATACATGTATTTTAAATGATATAATTGAATTCATTAATATAATTTATTATTTTATTTCAAACATAAAAATTGTTCAAATATGATTTGATTATATAGGTTGAAAATGGTATTAGTTTGGACTTGGGACGGCCGAAACTGCATCTCACACCATGGACGACAGTGTTCATGCCCAATGGCAAGCTGTTCAGCGAAGGTTGATGAGTGCATCAGGAAGAAACTGAGAGAGCTTAAAACAGGTGGTAGTGGAACTTGGACCTGTTGGAGCTTAATGAGATCCGAAGGAAGGGTGATGATTAATATTTTGTTTGTTGGGTTTTAATTGTTTGTTCGCTGGTGATTGGGAATTAGGCTTTGTAGGCATTATCATCATTGTTGCTTAATTTACCAAGTTTAACTGGACGCAATTTTAGAACTTTTTTCTTTTTTTCATAATAACTTTTGACGTGTAGTTGCAATTATTACATTTCAAGAAACACCATCTTCGAAGGCTTAGGGTTTGGATTTACCTTGTTTGGTCACAAAAGGTGTGCTGTTGGGGAGTGTATTAGGACTAATATCTAGGATTTACAAATCTTGTTTTTTGAGCCTTGTTTAGTGCTTAATTACGCTTTATATCTCATGCGCATAATGATGAAGAAGTCCCTGTGCTGGAGGCTGTGAACCCAAAGAGGTATACAGGAAAACAAGATTTCAATTTACCTTCACTGCTCCTTCCAATTTTCAATCACAGTCAAGAAAATCTCCCCACCTTCACTCCAAAACCAAGATGGGTTCTTCTCATCCAAAGCCGAGAAGATGCTGAAGCTATCTCTTCTACTAAATATCTGAAGAATGATTTGATTCCTAAAAAGAGAGCATTTCCTATCCATTCTCTTTATCTCTTGAGCTTAATGTGTCTTTCAGCATTTCCTGCCTGTCATCTTCTAGCCAGCACAAATTCTTCAAAACCTCCCTTTTCATTCCCACATCCTTCGGCCTCTCTTACTCCTCGCCAAAATCTTATATAAAAATGGGAGCACCAGAGAAAGTTATTCCAAACCCCAGTAGGGTTCGCACAAATTGTGATATTGATGTGCATACATTTGAAGAAGTCTTACTGTATCTGTACTAACCTTGAAAAAGCTATTCTTTTCTGTCTCTATATTTCGTTTCGGGAAAATATAAGAACTGATAAATAAAATAAGAGATTATTAAAGATTGAAGTCTTTATAAAAAGTAATTAAAGATAAATGCAAAAGTAGTAAATATTTTATCTTAGCCATTATTTTTATTTTATACATTTTCTTTAATTTATCTTGGAAATTAATTCTACTTGCTAAATATATAAGATTTTCATCCTTATAATTAAAATGTGCAAATACAACTTATCTTATCTAAAATTAAAATTTAAGAATAGACTTCTATTTTTTTTCTTTTTAATTTCATTTTAAATTAGACAATATTGTTTTGCCTAGCAGATGACATATCGTTTGCTTCTAAAATTTTCAATTGTTTTTAATGACTATAATTATATGTTTAAAAATATATTTTTGATTTTTTTATTTAAAAATATCATTAAAAATATTTTAAAACCTAAAACACCTTCTAATAACTTTAAAAAATTAAAATCAAACTGAATTAAAAACCAATTAACAAGTCTTTCTCCATTGAATTTTATTCTCTGAAACAAACCTATTAACATCAAACTTGGATATTTTAATGGTGAAAATATGGCCAACTAACCACTTTATCTCTTGTTATTTTTGATGACCTTTTTTTTTTATTTCTCAATTTCTAGTGATTAAAATGTAAAAATTTGGAATAATAGTGACCATATGCATATAATTCGAAACATGACTAGAAAACATAAAAAGAAAGAGATAATAACACATGGGGTAATGAAAATAGAATTTGAAATGATTAAATTGAAAAGAAATTAAGTGCAATGACGAAACTATCAAAAGGTGATAACTTCTACAATAGACAAGGGATACGATTATACGAACGAAGAGATGGGAGGATGGCTTACAAACAGTAGATTCACCTGAAAACCTTAAATTGATTTGTTAATGATAATATTAATGTTAATTTTACCATCAAAGGAAGCAGTTGTTAGACCTAATTATTCAGTCCAGGCATTCGCGGGCAACAAAAACCTTCTCCTTCAGTTGAGACAGAACTAAAACAAAAGAAAAAGACAAAAGTCTGCCTTTCAGACCTTTTTTTTCTCGCTTCCAGTCGAGGCCTTTCGCTTTCGCCTTCACTTTTCCCACTTAATCTAAGCATTCATCCCGTCTTCACCACATCTAAACACTTCCCATTGTCCACTCCCTCTCTCTCTAGATTCCCTTTCCCTTCTTCCACCAGCCCCCTCTTTTAACTCATCGAAACAAGAAAATGAGCAAACCGCACAGACCGCCTTCAGGCCGTACAAATATTGCTTCATGCATAGTAGCTACAATCTTCCTAATCTTTGTTGTTATCATAATCCTTATCGTCTTCTTCACTGTTTTCAAGCCTAAAGACCCGAAAATATCTGTTAACGCTGTTCAACTCCCATCATTTGCCGTCTCTAATAACACTGTTAACTTCACTTTCTCTCAATATGTCTCCGTCAAGAATCCAAATAGAGCTGTTTTCTCTCACTACGACAGTACCCTTCAGCTTCTTTACTCGAGTTCTCAAGTCGGGTTCATGTTCATTCCCGCTGGCAAAATTGATGCGGGTCGGACCCAGTACATGGCCGCTACCTATTCTGTTGAGTCTTTCCCTTTATCTGCTTCGCCGGATGCAGCGGTTAATGTGGGACCTGCTTTCAATGACGGTGGTTTTGGCGGTGGTGGACGGCCAGGTTTTAATAACGGGTTTCGGGTCGGACCAACCATGGAGATTGAGTCAAGAATCCAAATAGCGGGTCGGGTTCGGGTCTTGCATTTTTTCACCCATCATCTGGAGACTAAAGTTAGATGCAGAGTTACAATTTCCGTGAGTGATGGATCTGTTTTAGGGTTTCATTGCTAATAATACTGACAACCCCCCCCCCCACCCCAACCCCCCCTTTTGTTTTAGGTTTTTAAGTGTAGTTTTTATGCAGCCTTTTCTTTTAATTGTTTGTATTTTTTGGTTTTTAAATATGAGGCCTAGTGTGTTGAAGGAAGTGTAAAATCTTGATATTTCCACGAGTGGGTTTTGTTCTCTCTTTGATCTGCATTTTGAGAATCTTGAGCTCATGTAGTTACATCCCTTTTCTTTTCTTGTTCTTGTAGCGTTGCTCTCAGTTTTTGGGAAAGATCTTGAATTGTTGCACAAGGAAAGCTGCAAACTATGATGAGGTTGGTCTCTAAAGGGTAGCTTTGCTTTTTCTTTAGTTTTGTTTGGGGCTTAATTGTGCAATAAGTAAAGGTTGATACCATGATTAGTATAATAACAGATGCAGTTAAGGTTTCTATCAGGAAACTTGAGTTGGTTCGATCGTCAAGGAAAGCTTATGGTCAGTGAATTATGAGCTGTAAAGATCCGCAAAAGGCTCCATGGTTTCTGTTTACTAAAGAAGGAGAGTAAATAATTTTTATTTATTTATCTGAATAAGGGTCAGTAAATGACGGGAATGGGTAAAATGAAAAGGTTGACGCTTGAAAATGTCATGTTGTCGGAGTCCCGGAGAAGGGCCTGAAAAGGACGGTGTTAGTGGAGGTCGTGATTGCACGCGGCAGGCAGGGTGGTAAATGGTAATATTAGCCGGTGATAAACGGTAACGAAGTGAGTGCCGTGCAGATTTTACTCCGACAGGATTGTGGGGCTGCAGACTGCACACACTGTCCATATTGGATGCTCCACCCTCTTGGGATTGGAGATCCTTGCTTTTTAACTCATTAACTTTAAAATTAAATGAAAAGGAAAAATTGAAAGGATCCAGAAAAACAATGTGTCCCACTATATTTCAATTTTTTTTTTGTCTTTTAATTTTTATACTTTGTATTTTATTTTTTATTTTTTTAATATTATACATATTAATAATTATATTTTATAAGTTATTTTGATTTGTTTTTAATAAAGATATTATGAAATAAAAAACAAATATTAGTATTAGGTTGTTGATGCTTAGTTTTTTGAAAAAAAATCGAATTTGTTATTGAAGATAAAGGGATTATCAAATAATGAGGTAAAAAGAAAGGATTTTTTTATTATTATTTATTTAGTGCATTTTAAAAAAAATAGTCTATGATTTTTTAAATTTTATTTGTTTTTCAGTTTGAAACTTTTATATTTTGGTTCAAAAATTTATTTTATTTTTTAGTATTTGAGTTTGAAATTTTTATGTTTTGGTTTAAAAATTAATTTTGTTTTATTTTTTAGTATTTGAGTTTGAGGGAAGGGAGAGTTATCAAAATAAAAATAAAAATGTTAAGGAGTGGAAAGGTAGTCGTATATCGAATTTTTATTCTATTGTCAAAGTTAACACCAACAACATGACCATCCCGCTAAAAAAATATCAGCATCAAGCCTCTACATTCACTTGCGTGGGGGCTCAACTGCTCTTCTTCAAGAGTTCAGAACAGGTGCCAGCCATTGCCATACAAGGATGAAAATCGAGGAATCTGTTCATGGTGCTAAACATCAAGGACGCAATTTATTTAGACAGCAAAAACCTACCAATGATTAGATTAAACATCTTGAATATCATAACATAGGTAATGATCAATTGGTGTGGTGATTTAAACAGTGAACAAAACAACTGGAACTGCTTGCATTATCGTCTTTCAACCAAAAACTCTAAAGCAGCTAGCTTGCAAACCTCTAGAAGAATTCATGACTGCTGCAAGTTCCCAACCCCGAGTTATCGAGCATTGGGAAGTGACAGCTAAATGGTTAGTTTCTGAAATCCATGCCTTGAGACCAGGTTAATGATTACCACTACAGCATGCAATTTGATACAAGATCAAAGAGATGCAATTTGAAAATAATTCACCAATAAAATGTGCTTTGGAATAAACAAAAGTAATGAATCAAATTTTGATAATCCTTCCTCCAATAACACATGTACAAGAACAAGATAAAAGACACCATATACCCACAAATTGCACAGAACTATTTGTAGTTGTAAAGCTTGGATTTGATGTCCAAATCAGGTCTCCACCACTGGTGAATTCCATGAGCTTCCCTAAAATCCTGACAAGGAGTTAAATTTACAATTAGATTTGCTGAAGGGATGAGGTGGAGTGGTTCTGACTCCCTACCCATGGCACTCATGAGAAGACCGCCCAGAGAATTCTGGGTTGCTAATCTCTCAATAGCCCCAATTCCAATATCATCCATCTTCTTCCTGTGCTCAAGATACCCAATATATTCTGAGCATAAGTGATCACCTGGATTGACAAAGAGAAATGGGATCCATCCAGAAAGAGCAGCAAATGGATCGACAGATCGATTATTATTATAGCTCTTCTTTGTCGCAAATGCGAGTCCTGCTGTTATCACACTGCTTGCAATCCGGAGCCCATGTTTCACTCGCTCATCTTTGATCCCCTCAATTGGGGCAGAGAAGAATGGTGAATTGAAGAGAAAAGCTTGGAGAAAGATGCCCGTCTTGGCCATGGTCTTTCCAGCTAGCAATGCCATTGCCGCTCCCAGGGAATGCCCAGCTAACCAGACATTTGATTCACCTACAATAGCAACCACATTTCGGACTGCTTGGATAGCAATCTCAAACCGGGATGTCTCATGGAGTCCATTTCGGAGAATGTGGAGGTCCAACTCAAGGTCCCGTGACACAGACTCTGGCTTGGTTATGGTGCCTCGGAAGGCAATTACGTAACGAGGGCTTTCATCTAATGAATTGTGATAATGAGATTTTGGCAGCTTGAATTCATAAATTGCAGCAAAAATGGAGGAATCCACATCATCTACAAGGTGACGAAGCAACTGAAAGTGAAAGAACTCCCACCAAGGAGAAGCAAGAGCTTGGGGACCTTGACGTTTCAGCTGGCGGTCCTGCTCTAGAATGTAGACACCCTGAACCAAACTGGCAGCAACAGATCTTCGATGATGTGCATTTGTCCTGCACAGTATTGCAAATAACATTGTTTCCCACATGATCTTGTTTCTATAAACATACTTTTTATCTAATCACTATGTTGCCTAGCATCACAACTAATTCATTAGTAAAGATTAATTAAAACAGCAGGATCAATATGGCTGCTGCATCACGTTCATAAGATAGTAATGTCCCCAAAATCATATGTCTATGCACCCGAGGTGGTCAATGCAAGGGAAGAATTATACGAAACCAACAAGGAGCTCACCAGTCGACAATAGCTAGGTGCAAGGGTCCTGAGAGGCTAAAGTCTTCCTTCTCAGAGGCCATAATACCATATGTTCCTGTAGCTGCTGCTGCTTCTTGATGTCCTCCAAGATGCCACTGCATTGATTAAATAAAAACCAGTGAGTGGTTACCGGTCCAAAACTAGATTTAACAGGCACATAGATCACACACGGTCAGATTCTCTCTCACACACAAGAAAGATAACAAATAAGCTAAACCCATCAGCATGTTTTGAGTGGAACAAACTACGTGCTTAATTTGCAATATTTCAAGGATGAAACTGTTTGAAAAACCATCCAGAAAGAATATTTCTCAATGAGTTTGACTTTAACGGAGTAATGTATCCATTTGAAAGGTACTTGAACCTTCCCATAAGAAAGTTTCCCTCTTCAGGATACCTCTTATTTTCCAATAAAAACACAAACACCTCCCATCCAAACAGAAATCAGGGTCCATCAAAATCTAAACTTGGGATCAAAATCCTTATCTCCGCCAGAACACAAACTCTTTGACGATAAACCTTGAGCCAGATTCAAAATAAGAGTTTTCCTTCTGAACCAATTGCAAAACAAAAAATTCTTATTAACAGAAAAATGCAATTCTTCTTTTTTTTAAAAAAAAAGAGATAAACCAACCTGAATTAAAAATATATAAATATTTCGTTTCAGATAAAACTTTAATAATAGCCCATCATGACATGATTTCTAACATAGCAAAAGAATGAGAATGGATCCGAATATTCTACCTTTGTAACAAATGAAAGAAAGGCTACAGGAGAGGGATACCTGGATTTATTCAAAGGAAGAACAGATCTGATGTTATGATATATTGATACGGAAAAAAGGCTTTTTTTAATTTTTTATTTGGGGGGGCCTTCCTCTGTTTCAATTTAAGGTGGAAGTTGATGGGCGGTAATAGAGGTTGGCGGTGACATGACAGCATGTGTTAAAGAAAGAAAGACACTTCTAGATAATTGGTGGATTTTTTTAAAAAACAAATATTAGCACTGTTTTAAAAAATAATAAAATAACAATTTTCAAAATTCTAATGCAAAATAATTCAATTTAAACCCTATTTATTTGCGTTAAAAAATAGTTTTTTTTAAAAAAATTAAAAAATAAATTTTAAAAAATAAATTATTTTATGATATTTGATAATATAATAAAAATAAGTTAAAAAACACTTTTTAATATTTGATTATGTTATAAAAATGAGTTAGAAAATAACTTATTAATATTTTATTTTATTTAAGTTTATTAAAATAATAAGAAATAAATTTTACAAATTAAAAAGATGAATGAGAATAAAATTATAAAAAATATAATTTTATAAATTATCTCAAATAAAATAAATAATAATAAAAATAATAGAGATCAAATTTAACAAATAAAACAATTGAAAGATGAAGAAATTAAAATAATAACGACTACCATTTCATAAATTATTTCAAATAAAATAAGTAACAACCAAAGGAATGAGAACTAAATTTGATATATAAAAAATTTCAATTAAAAAAAAATAACAATTATAAAAATATAAACTAAAATTAATACAAAAATTAAATTTTAAGGATGAAATTGAAAAAAAAATATTCAAAACAATATACATATAGCAATCAAAAGTTTGATAACCAAATTTAATATAATCAATAAATAATATGACATTTCTAAATTTTTCACAATTTTAAGAAAGTGTTTTCCATCTAAAATAAAAGAAAAATAATTTCTTGAAAACCAGACCAAATTTTTTTTTGACTAGAAAGTATTTTTCGTTGACTAACTTTTTTAATGACAAATAAACACAGAAAAGTTTGAAAATTAATTTTTAGAAAACCACTTTTCATCAAACAAACACTCCCTTCATATATATCAGGATGAAAAAAAAAAGTTAAAATATTGTTAAATAAGCTATACAAATTATAATGAAAATAAAAGAAAGAGAAAAATAAAAAAGAAAGAGAGAAAGGTATGGAATACATATTTAAGCTTTGATTACAATATTATTAATATTATTAGAAAAATTTTGACAAAATAAATTCAATAATAACAAAAAAAATTAACAAAGATGACTAGAATGATAGTTATAATGAGAAGATAGAAGAGAGGAAGGGCCCTTAAAACACATCAAAGGTTTAATTATGATATCATAATTATCATAAAAAAATTCTTAATAAAATAAATTTAATTATATAAAAAAAAGTCATTAATAATTAGTAGAGTGAGTCATACTCTTTATTTAGCTCATTTATTTTTAGGTGACATGTATAATTAACTTCAATTATTGTTAATGACTCTTTTTAATGTTATTATATTTATTTCATTGAGAACTTGATATTATAATTAAAATTTCAATATGCTTTTAAAGTTTTTCTTTTCCTTTTCTTATTATAATTTATATCCATTTAATAATTTATTTAATTGAAATCTAAAATGAGTTTTTCTTTATGTTTCTTTTTTTATCTTTTTCTTTAAGAAAATATAAAGTCAAATAAGACCCTAACACCGAAAACTCTTGGAGGCTATGACCCCCTCAATCTCCCCTGTTTGAAACTAGGATCACAAGCTCCTGCCAATAGCATGGAGGAATGACGCCATCAGTAGTTCTTGAAATTTTAATTGGATTAATATTTTTGACAGTTTAAAAGCTAAATATCACCAGCAGAATCTAACGTGGAGAGGCTTATTTCTGCAGTTGCAAATATGTATCTGCACACCCTTGCATGTTCAGGATGGAAGGACTTGCATTGCTGATCTCTTTAATATTACAAAATCCGGCTATCAATCATGAAGGCATGTAAGCAAGTATCTCATAAACACTTTTTTTTTAAATATGACATAAAAAATATAATATAGATTTAAATTGTAAATTTTGTTTAACTAATTATATATTATAGTCAAGTCATACATAACAATATAACATAATTAAAACGAAAATGAAATAAACAATATAAAAATTTAAGCATTTTAAAATATAAAATTCAAATAAAAATTGAAAAATAATTTAACTTAATAATACAATATAATTATATCCCTAAAATTTCATTATCTAAAAAATTAATAAATTTAAAACAAATAATTTGTTAGTGTATTATATAAACTAAATACTCATAATCTTCTTTCTCCTCCTTATAATTTTAAAAAATATTCATTAAAATTTTTATTATCTAGAAAATCAATAGTACTGCAAGTAATACCAACATCAAAACCAATTTTATCAACAATAATTGACTCAAAACTATTCTAATTGTGTCCGTACTTTTTTGGATGGTCTAAGGCACAATTTGACCACCAAACATGAGTTTATGAACATACCTTGATTTTTCTCCATTGATCCTCCTCAAACTCGAGGATTTTGGTCGCTAAAAAACATCACAGTCAGAGCGAGAAAATTTCCCCTCCTTCCACAATCAACATCAAATCCAGCAAGCAAGAGAAATCACTTCAAACTTTTTTTGTTGGATCTTTCCGAACACCGGTTAAATGCAAGCCCATTGCTTCCTTAAAATACACGAGCAACTTATCCCCTAACCAACTTTCCAAGGGTTTTTGTCTAGACCCATTTCTCTAGATGAAACTGACAGTGCTTTCTTGTATTCCCCATATTTAACTATTTATGACCTCAAACCAACGAACAAAGTTCAGGTCACACGAGTGGGTATTGAAAAGTATAATTTAATTGGTTAAGTTTTAAATTTATTTTTTAAAAGTTATAAATTTTAATTTTATAAATTTTATAGCTATTAAAAACTCATATGATGATTAATTTTATAATTTATAAGATTTAATTGAAAAATATATAAATTTACTCTAATATTCATATTAACAAAAAAAGAAATATACAGGCACAGGAAGTTGTGACATTAAGTAAACTGGGAAGCAGCACACAATGATGGGAACTAGAAGCAGGGTTGATTTCAATCAGACATCGGGCATCACATCTAACATTATAAACACTCCAGATCATGCAACACGTAAAAAATCGGCACCTTGAGGTTCATCTCTCAAAAGAATGTGCATCCATGCTCATTACGCATATTAACGATAGGGAAAACAACATATAATTCTAGCATCATTGACATCTCTCAACCTTTTTGTGCAGAAGGCATTTAAGAACAAACCGAAAAGAAAACAGGGAGATGCTTAAGGTGGGGGTACAAATTAGCTACAACGGAACAAAGCATCTTCTATAAAAGCAACCCAAGTTCCGTATGAAATTCATAAATCATTCGTATCTGGTCTTTTGTTATAGAGACACTACCCTGGAAACTGCGAGAGCCCAAAACTGATGTCAAAAAGAAAAACTAATTTAGAAGCACTTATACTTCCTACAAACTCGATCATAATTTTGCATTATTTTGACTAAATTTATCAATTTTGCACCAATCATGTCCAATTATACTAATAAATGTTAAAAAAAATTACTAATCAATTTGACAACAATGCATGTAAGCATAGCAAACTCGTAAAAATATACTCAATCCATAGTGATAAATGGTTACGGCAAGAGCAACAAATATTCTCCTATGAAGACAAATGAACTCTTTGTTACTTCTATAGCGCGTAGAAATAAAACAAAACATTGCTCCCCATCTTCCCAAAACACAAGCCATAAATGAAAGAATGACAGCCATAAAGCCATATTCTCGTACAAAAGAGATGGATGATTCAAATGCTGCTGATCTACTTGGACCAAGCAACTGCGTCAATTTCTGCTTGTGCACTCCTGTACAACTCAAGTCTCTTTGCAATGGCAGCTCGGCGCTCCATGACTGCAGGATCCTCGTTCAGTAATGATGACAATTGCTTTTGCTGCAAAGATCAATTCAAAAGTCAACCGCATTCATCATCTGATATCAGCAACAGCATCAAATTTGACCAGGAATAAACATGGATAACAATTAAAGAAGATTTTCACTCCTACCTCCAGTTTACCCAACTCGGTGAAGAAATGGTCAAGCAGGCTTCGCTTGGCCTCACGCACTTGACAATAAACAATGGACTTTGGAATGGAGTTACGTAGACTTGCACAGACCATATTGACATAAGACAAAACAGTAGATCCTGTTCGCATATTCCAACAAGAACTCTTAAGATTACATCAAGCAGAAACGATACCATAACCCACCCTTTTTTTAATGCAAAAATGAACTCATTAAACTTACCAATTCGTCTAAGATACGAGTCATTATATCTATCAAATATAGAATGGGTAGGGTTGCCACCCTTGTCAACATCCTGAGGAAGTTTCCGGAAAAAGTCCACTGTCAGGTAGCTACACTCCATGTCGACTAGCTGGAGCGTTGCTTTCTTGCTTGTATCTTTCATTCTATCAAGTGACTCGATAGCAGCATTACTGACCTCTACTCTAAGAGCAGGATACTGCTTCAACTCCTGAGAATCATCAAAAGCAACATTATCCAACAGCCCAATGGGGACCCATGACATATAGTACAAAACCAGGCTAAAGCATCTGAGGTAATCAAATACTCTGGAAAATGGATAAAACACTAGAAGAGGAGTGGATTTGGCTCGATCTTCTTTTAGCAGCATAATTTTTCAAATTATTGAATATCTAGAAATCAAATGCCTACAAAAAATAAGGTGGAGAATGATTCTTGAAATCATATTATTAGAACACATCCACAATTAAAAAAACAAAATAGATGTTTCCGATTGATGGACAATGGTAAAACAAGAATTTTTGCTGGAGGTCCATTAAATGTTGCAAGCTGAGAGAAGCAGGCACTTTCCTCCAGACATTCAAAGGCATCAGTCAATATTTTGCTTATTACTTGTAAAGTGCCATGTCAGGTTCTCAAGCCTCTCTCCTTTTCATCCCTTTTTCCCACCTTTTCAGATACTCCTAGGTAACAAATTCTCATACATGACAAACTGAGTTTGAAGATGTATTCATTTCTATTTTCCTAGAGAATAATGCCTTATTTCACTGACTACACCACTTAAAATAACTAACAAAAGGTAATGCAAAAGAAAAGGCGAAACTGCCAGTGTCCGCAAGCATGCAGGAACTTTACAAAATTCAATACAGGGAACTAAGTACGTAAGCATGCAGGAACTTTACAAAATTCAATTCAGGGAACTAAGCCCTTTGCTCACGTGCATATGACATATTAAGAACCTCTTTAAACCTTGCTAACAAAATGCACCAAGAACAAGGATTTTGTAGAAGCAATTAGACTTGGAAATGATACAAACTTACTATAGTCTCACTGATAGCCTTGTGAACTAAATCCTTCAGAAGGCCATGAACCTGGATTATAAACAAACAAGCATCAGCTAATTGAAAAACATGCAACCCATCAAGATTCAGAAACTGCAAATGAAAGAGGAAAATGAAAAAAGAAAAATCAGTCACTCCTGCAGACAGAAATCTTTGCTTTCTCCATTTAGAATTTTTCCCCCAGAAATCATATGGGACCCTCTTCCCGTCCTTTCTCTAAGAAGAGAGGACCTTCCCTGATTGGAAGCTGTGTGCAGCCAGCCTCCCTCTCAAATTTTGTCTCTGCCCCCTGATTTCATAGGGAGAACCACCTCCCCCTCCCCTTGCCCCTCCTTACTTTTTGCATCCCAGGCTGGTAAAACAAGCCAGTCCAGGCCTGTTATAGTGAACATAGGGCCTGGCTGACCAGCAGCATATTATGGAGGAAAGTGTTTTCTGGAGATTGGAATCCCTATTTTGCACATGAACTAATTCCTAGAGCCAAACAAAATCAGCTTACAAAACAGGTTCTGAAACAGATATTTACATCATTTGTGTTGGCTATATCCAAGATACAGTTGAGTATGATACCTTAAGGTACTTCAGACTTTTTCATCCACAATAATCTCATATTAAGAGATTCTGAACAGTTAAAGTTTTGGGGAAACATATGGCAGCAAAGTCTGTACAACATCAACTCAACTAAAGCCACATGAAGTAGGAGGCAGCAGAAGAAATTTAACTTTCCAATCATGCAAAGGAAAGTCCGAGAGTTTTTAAATATCATGCATACCGCATCAACAGCTGCCTCAGCAGGACCTCGGATAGAAACTACAGAAGATTCAATGAGACGACGATATCCTTGTTCAGGAGCTATCAAGTGAGGTTGATACCCATCAGCTTCAGTGATCAATTTCCGAATGTTTTCCATTGAAAGTTGCTTGTCAAACTGTAGCCTTTTTAGAGCAGCAGGAAGCTGGTTATCGAAAACATTGTAAATTTTATCACCACCAGGTCGGCTGCAAACAACAGTGAATATATAAAATCAGATTGCTTGCAAAGATAAATTGACAAGATGTAGAAATGCACCATAAAATCAAGCTGATCAGAGGCAAGGAAATAAACAAAGCACAGTACATACATGCCATCAAGATGCTCTTTGTATATTTGATCAAAAAGGCGGCAAATCTCCATGATTGAGTACATCTTTCCCTGCAAGGTAGGCAATGATAATTAGTGATTCACATACATGCACAGAAGGGGGAGAAGGATTAAGATACCTAAAGGTTGTTAAAATATGTCCAAGTTAAAAGCACACTTACTCCAGCATCTGCAGCAATAGGCTTTCCAAGACGACTCAATTCCGATTCAAGTTCAGCAATTGTTTTGTTGACAAGGGACTGAATGCCTGGAATTTTGGACTTGATTACAACTTCCAAATGCTGCAGTATTAACCATTAATAATTGGGTTATTACAATAACAGTTGAAAATCTTTCAAAATATATGGAACTTGGACACATATGAAGTAAAAGGGAAAGAACAGAAAGCGCATCACTCACCTTTGACAGCATCTTTGCTAGATGCTCTGAACCCATTCTGTGGGCAAGGTGCTTGTATTCTGGGGTGCTGGAAAAATACTCACGTTCTCTACGCCGAGCAGCAATCATGTCCACATTCTTGTTAATATCTGCTTGTGAGCGGTTCACCACACCGACCCAGGGAAATTTTAGGCGGTAAGATTTTCCTTCCAACATCTACAAAAGCAAAACAGTAACTCATGATTGTCATGATGCTGAAGGCCTGTAACATATGTAATATAAAAAGAACCATGCATCAAAATTGCAAAACATGTAGAAAGCAAAATGAAGCAGGGAATTTGAGGATTACACAGCCAAGTATAAGAGATTTTGACTATTTTCAACTTTTCAATGATGGGAACTTAGGGCTTCTGTTATGCAGGACACCTGGGTAATCCTTAATGACCAAATGCTTACCCAGTTTTATAGCCAAGTAGTTTAGAATAAGATTAGTTTTTTCTTTTTAAGATTTCTAAGTCTCAAGATTATTTTTACAAGCCGAGGCTTTTTTCTGATAATATATATGTAATCTAGTTTCTTAAACATCAGATGATGGATTAGAGCATTAGTTAGTTGAAGGCAAGCATATCTAGTATCTTTCTTCATTCTCCAAGAACAGCAGCTACAGAAAGCCAGGTTAAGCTTGCAGTACAGGCCACGTCCGTCAATTAAACCATCCAAACCTAATCCTTACTTCCATTGAATGAACCATGAAATCCAACTTCAAATCTGATAGTTAGCTGCCCCAGAAAACCTGAAGCCTATATCCTAATTTCCTGCCACTACAACACACCCAAAAAAGAACCTTTTCAGTCGCAATTCCCTTTATAAACCCCCAAGTAAAATGTGACCATGAATCTCCAAGTTTATCAAGCTACAACCCACCAAAAAGCATAAAAAATCAGACCACCCAAATAAGATAGCATGTCATCCACTGAGAGAAATTGCTTGATTAGGAATTAAAATTTCCAGGAAACAAGGAGAAGTAGGTGTTGAGAGGAGAGTGCTCATGAAATAAATTAATGTTCTTGAACACGAGATCACTTGTTACTTGTGTAAAATGTACTGACAAACATTTTCTAGCCAAATTCTAGTGAACATTGTCAGCATCTATAGGAGCATGAATTTTTATACTTAAAAACATGCCAGGTTGTATATAAGTAGCATCAATTTATCTCTTGAATGCTATACAAAAAAAAAAAAAAAAAACAATCCAACTTACATCAACTGCATCAGTACCCTTATCCATAAGATCGATCTTTGTCAAGACTCCTAAGGTCCTCTCTCCTGAAAAAAAAAAAATATATATATATATAAGAACCAGAACATCTAAGGAGTTATATGAACGTGCAAGCAATGATATAACATAGATTTTGATGTTTTGTTGCAAATTACAAATATTGAACAAGATTACCTGTAGGGTCCACTTCACGAGAGATTTTAATAGCATCAGAGGTAGCAAGATCTTGATTGGCGGGTGAAATTGCTAAAATTATACAGTTGGGCTGCATTAAATTTGAGCAAACAAAATAGCATGACTTTGCCAAGTTTCATCATATCAGAACACAAAGGAATACAATAGCATAGAAAATGGCAGAATTTAAAACATGGTCCTGGAAATTTTCCAAGAATTATTTGCCGGCTAAGCTGAGAAATATTTTGACAAAAAAGTAAGAATCTATAGAAGTGAAAATATCCAATTTACACAACTATTCGTATAGGATACAAAGAGTTTGAGTAATGAAATGTGCATTACCTTCTCGATATAAGCTCGAACCATGTTTTCAATATCTTGCACAATACTCTCTGGTTGACCCTCTGCATTTCAAAATAGATATAGGATATTCATAAACTGTTCAGAATATAACCTCATAATGATCTATAAAAACAGCAGCAAATAAAGGATGATATTTTTTTACTTTATGCTAGTTAATTCTCAGGAAAATCTTAAAATGGTCAAACTGTTAAGTGAAAAATTGAGTTGATATGAACAAAAATATTGAAGTTCAAAGGTTGCAAGTCCCTGTTGCATTTATTTTCCTTTGTCTTCTCAGCAATGAAAAGAACAGTAAAGAAGAAGGTTTCCGGGTAACCACCACGCAAGATGGAAGCACAAATGCACTTACCAACTGCTACTTTAGTAAGCCCAGGAAGATCAACCAATGTCAAGTTGACAACTGCCAAAATAAAATAAAAAAGTCAAGCAAATTCATAAATAATGAAAAGGAAACTTAAATGATTGTAAAATGTGGCTAAACGTAAATATAAAAGGCATCTGAAACATAATATTGTTTCCATACGGAAGATACAAAACCGAAGCAGGAGCTAGATAAGGATATTTCAAAGTGAAACAAGACTTGCCATTAGGAGAGTAAATACTAAGATGAATTGGAACACTTGAAATTTGCTTTGATCGACCAGTCTCTCTATCAGTCTCATCTTGAATCTCCCTCCTCACAGCAGCTACACGCATAAAAGCACCATTAAACCATAATTCCACAATTACCATCCAATCAACACAGACACGATAACAACAAGAAACAAACACAAACTCTTCAAAAAAAAAATCTAATACTAACTATACATAAAAAACACAGCATAGATAAAGAAATGTACCAAAATCAGTAAATCTTTTCCTTGGGAGATGAAGGAACTCAGCATATTCTCTACTTCCTTCATCGATCTTATGAAGCTGCAACACAAGTGGCCGCCGCGTAACGATACCTATAGGGACAAACAATCACATCACTCTCACACTCCAATTGCAGAAAAACCCTAAATAATTCGGTAACTAAGTCATGGTACAGAATTGTAAGCTAATTACCGGATCCACGAGGCAAGAAATCCTTCCCGACTACACTCTCCAACACCGATGACTTCCCCGAACTCTACAAAACATAAACAAAATGCTATCAGCCAACAAACATCTAGGTCACAACAATTTGATTAGCTGAAAGTAAGAGGGGTAGATCTGGAGGCAAACCTGGCCACCGACGACGGCGATGGAGGGTAAGGAATCCCATAGAGTAGGTAACGCACTAGCTTCACCATGATCACCAAGAGCAGTGCAAGCTCTTTGAATTTTATTTACTAAAGAAATCAAGTTCTCCATCAATGAAGTAGAGACGGAGATCGGTGACGGTGATTTGGTAGATCGAGGCTGGATCTGGAGGAAAAGGTGGCGTTTGAAAGAGGATGGGATCTGAGCTTGAGTTTGACGTTTATCTTCTTTGTGTCGTGTGTGTTGGGATGGTAGAGAAGACGAGGAGGAGCAGGAGGAGAAACGATTTATTTAATGGTTTTTCAAATGGAAAGACACTTTGAGAACTAGGGAGGTCGCTGCTGTTGTGCTAGATTCCAGTTAAAACTATATTTTACGACGTTTTCCTGTGCCTCCGAGATTTAATTTTGCTTTCAAAAAATTTAAATTTTTTTATTTTTTATTTTAAATTATTTTTTTATTTTACAAAAATAAATTTAAAATAAAAAAATATTATTTTAATATAAAAAATTTATACAATCTATAATATATTAATGCCAAAAATAAAAATGTTATACCATGATATTAAATAATATTAAATAGGCTATATACATTATACGATCTGCACTTTTATCTTGCTTATTTCATGCATTTTTTATATTAAATTTCAATAACTTTTTGTAAATTTTTTTAATTTTTTAGTTTAAAATTAGTTTTTTTATTATTTTGATATATTAATATCAAAAATAAATTATAAAAAATAAAAAAAATATTTTATTATATTTTCAAATAAAAAATATTTTAAAAAATAATATTTATGTATGTGTCATGTATGTTTTGGCCTTTATATTAATTTTTTTAATTTAATGTTCACATATATTTTGTTTCGGACTCACAAGAGGCTCTCTTTTTTTTTAATTCATGAATAGTTATAATAACAATAAATACAGCAACAAAATCGTTTCTGGATGTTTGCTTCGGATTTCGCTTTAAATCTTTCTTGTCAAGGATATGTTTTTTTTATTTAAAAAATATTTTTTATTTATTTTAAATTATTTTTTTGTATTTTTAAATGATTTTAAAATACTAATATTAAAAATATTTTAAAAAAATAAAAAAATTATTAACATATATTTTAGTATGAAAATTTATTTAAAAAATAATTATAATTACACTATTAAACAAGTTCTAAATCCATTATTGATGATTATAAAAAAAATCATAAGTTATTATAAAATTTAAATTTAAATTCAAATAATTTTAATTTACTAGCGTAGCAAGTGTGATGCGATGAATAATTTATCTGATATTGGGATTTAATTAATATCAAAAATACTTGTTTTTTTTTTGGTTCTACATAAATAATATCCATGATGATATATTGCACGCAGCATCGATAACTCAGTCGAGTTGATAAGGAGGAGAAATTAAATTAAGGAGTTTAGGGGACAAAGCTTAACTTTAAGCATCATTTATTTATTTTACATAATTATCTACGGAATTAAGTTGGAGTCGGAGTAAAATCAGTGTTGAGTCACCAGAAATTAATTATATAAATTTTAAAATTAATAATTATATAAAATTTTAATTACTATAAAATCAAATTAATAAAAGAAAAAAAAAATTGTTTCATGAGATTAAAAATGTGATAAACTAGAAAAAGGTCAGCACACCAATATCTAACCGACTTTTTTATATTTAATAGCTCTTCTCAGGATCTTTAATGTGAACTACCTTTATTATCGAAAATGCCGCCCTGCAGATTATGCTCACTACGGACGCGTTCATGACTGTGATTTAATTATATTTTTTGAAAAAAATAAATTTTTAAATAAAAAATATTTTTAAAAATTAACTTTTACCCAGCTTCTAAAAATACATTAATGTCCTTCGAGTCCATGTGGCTCCGAAAGAGCCGTTTCTCTCTAAAAATTCGAACCATTTTTTTAAAGAGAAAAGGGGTCCACCATCTTTTGAAGATAGGCAATTTCAACCTTCTCAAACGCCAACGGCTCAGAATAGCATTCCCTGGCAAATTTTCAAAAGAGAATTGAAAGGCGAATACTTTCATCAACTTTTCGTTATTGACAGTTCATAGGGGTGATCATGTTAGATTTTTTGAATGATTTTTTTTTATTATTAACATGAAGTATATGGATTAACCTGTTCAAATCTTAATCCATCTTATAAATTTTAAAATTAATAACTATATAAATCTCTAATAATTATCATATTAACAGCTTTAACTTAAAACCACAGTGCCAGAAACCCTTGCTCATTAAATGAATTTTAAGAACAAGAGATAACACTGCATCCCTAATTCCAAACCGTCAATTGTACTTGCCCAAGTATGATCTTGATTTGAGAACACAGTACATGATTAACAAAACCTAATTGGGCTAGGCAATCCATTATTTCAGATGCAGACCTATTAGCAGTCCACGGTTCCCATTTCTTCTCTTTTTTTTTCAACTTGCTCTTTCCATAGTTATTCTATCCAAGATTGGTGTCCATGGTTTGTTTGACAGGCTCGTTATAAGATTTTCGGGTTATTAAAAAAATTATGTTATTTAACTCGGAATCGATTTTGCACAATATTGTTTGGGTTTTCATATTTTGAGAGATCAAAATTCAAGGCGCTATAATTGATAAATGAGAAAAAGTAAGTCCTTAAAGGAAGAAAAAAATTAAATAATCAAAGAGAAGAAAATAAATTAGTCATTAATGCCACCATAAAGAGAAACACGTGTCACATGCTGCCTTTAATAAAAAATACGTCTCTAAAAACTAAGAAAAATTATTTTTTAGGTCGAAGGATGTTGCACACGTTGCTACAACACAGGATATTCTCCCACACATTGGCATGTGTAAAATACATGCTGGCTATTTCTCTTCACCTTTTTTTTTAATTTGGTTCTTGATTGTATATGAACACATCAATTAAGTTCTAAATTTCATTTCACTTGAGTCCAAGCCCTTTTTCTTTCATCTTTATATTTAACTATCCAAAACTGTTAAATTTAGGCTCAAATCTCGTCTAACCTAAGCCCAACCGAGAATACATCAAGAAAAAAATAGTTGATCGACAAATTTAGCTCATTACAATCGTGCCCATGACCTGCATCGTAAGTTTTGCATTAATATTGGGTTGACCAGGGATGATTGATTATGTCTCTACTCCAAAATAAAATATTAAAATGTTATACAGATTTTGTAAAAGTTGACCCATATTTTTATTGGTCCTCTAGATTGCCTACAAAATCGACTTAGAGTCTACAGCTCCCACACGATTAATTTGATGCTCAGCCTATGCAAACAATTAGATCATGTAGGTTTAAAGGTTGACACGCTATATCGTTTTTAATAACATTTTCAAAGAATTTCACATGTCTCGTCATATTTTTATGTTAAAGTGAACAAAGTCATTAAATATTTTCATCTTCTAATTTGTTTTTACTCATATTATGCTAAAACCAAGTTATTTTTTATATAATATAAGATCAATCCTAATGGTTATAAAAATAAGATCACAAAGACATTACTAATACTGTAACAACCCAGCCTAACTTGCCATATATTATCCGTTTTGGGCTTTACCATCCTCATGGTTTTGTTTATAGTGACACGAGTCTATATATGAGCTTGATGTCTCAAAACGCGTAAAACAAGTTAGTAACCAGTACTCTTAATAAGATCAGCTACCAATCCCTCACCCCCGATATAGGATATAACAAATACCTTAAAATTTATACTGGTTTTAAGGCACGTGCAATGAACCTAGCGAAGAGCTATTGTCGTTACCATTGACATGCGTGGTTGTGCCTACACATATATTGTTGTTTGTCCCTTTATACCATTAAAATTAACAACTATCGTATCTTCTTTTCAAGAAAAGAAAAAAGAAAGTATTGCTTGTTAACTACACCTATTTGAAAAGCAAGGTCCACTCTAAAAAGTAACCAATGCTTATTCGAGCCCAAAACTAGAGAGGCCAACCATAATTCAATAGCCAGAGACTAGAAATCAATTTAGAGGGTTTTTAGTATTATGGTAGCTTTTGTAATTGTGATATGAGAAAAGCAAGTTTAGAAAAATCACTTTCAGTTGTTGTTGGTTTGATTATAATATGTGTTTGATTAAAACTATAGTTAAAATTATTTTTGAATAAAAATCATATCAAAAGTGTTTGGTTAAAACTACGATATTGATAATAACATTATTAAAAGGATGTTTAAAAGTGCGGTAGCTATTGTTTTTACTCCTAACCATAAATTATACATGTTTGGTTACATAAAAAAAAAATTATAGTTTGAAAGTTAGTTTTATTTTCTATTATGGAAAAAGCAAAACCAGCTCCTTGTTGTTTGTTTTTTTATAAGAAGATGAAGACTAGCCCAAAAATTACATAGAAACAACAGAGAAGGTGTTAATAAGTTGGTAATTTATTTCTTAGCTTCAAAAATTGTTACGTTATAGTTAAAAATTAATGAATTGAAACATAGAGTTTTTTTTTTTTTGCTTGATTCATTTACTTTAGATTTTAAGGTTTTAGACAAGATTTTTTTAACTATAATTCTTCACAAATAACTATTGACCTGGGTTCTTATTGTTTGATTTGATAATAAATAAGATCTTAAATAGTTGGGTATATTTGAGTAGAGAATATGCTAAATTTTATCTTTTTAAAACAAACATATTGTGTCACTCTCTTATTTGGTAAAACTTTAATTTATATGAGTTTGGACAAATTAATGTTACCAAATTATTTCAATTTATCAATTGATTTAATCATATTTAGTCATGCAATTTTTTATTCTAAAATCACTTAATTTGATGTTTAAGCATGATTTTTTTAGAGTAATACAAAACATTTATACACGTGGTGTGTAATATCATTGGATTGTGGTTAATGAATCTTTTATAGCAAATAATCAAATGTGTGGTTGAAAATTATTGTTGAATAAAAAGCATATCAAAAGTGTTTGGTTAAAACTATAATTGAAATTGATTTTGCTAATAAAATAACTAAAAAGAACATATATTAGTTTCTTCATTTGTAGTTATATTAACATGCACTGGATTATTAATACATTATAAATACAATAATGCAAGTTACAGTCCCACTTTTATTGTCTCATTAAACTTGTTACGATTTTTTCATGAATATAATCCATTAAAAAATATCTTTGGTTTCCATGGCTTTCTGAACACGGAATCACATCTATTAAAAAATCATTAGGAATAAAAATGGAATGACAATCAAATTCTATGAATGCCTCATCTTTATGTGATTTT